CTGTTGGAGCGCGTGGTGCCCATCGTCGAAATCGACGGGGGAACTGTCGTGCATTCCAAGTATAGTTCCCTCATATTGGTCCTAGTTCCAACCCCAGAAGTTTAAGAGTGAATGAACCGAATGCAACAGCAGCACTACATGCCTACCTAAATAACATAAGTAGCCAAGGAAATAGTAAATTAGAATTCAGAGGTATACACGTCATCTCCATCGAGTAGACTTTCTTGTACTTATTTATTAGCATATTGCTTGAAATTTCACAATGGGAAAAAGGTTATTTTGGGGTTTTTCAAAAAATTCCTAATTAAGGGATTTTTTAAAGTAAAAATTTCACTCATAAAGCGTCGCATTTGTCTGTTTATTAATTCTGCTTATAAAGCTTAAAACGCTGTCCCAAACTATTGTAAAACTTTATGAGCACTATGTGACGTTTTCAGTACGCATGTAGTTTAAGTGCAAGCGTAACGACAGGTCAGGTCCGGAAATTGGAAAAGCCATTTTAAACCGAAAGACTATTGGGCGCTCCGAATGGAGTTCTTTCAAAAGCTTGCACCCTGCAGTGACTGAGGCATCTCCGGATTATGCTGCAAGATAATTAACACGAAAACCTTACTTAAGTTACCTTTTCTAAACGAAAACACTTTTCAGAATTTAGATTAACATTTCATGAGGGCAAATCTACCATGGGTCTGCATTAAATGAGCTGGCGCCCTTGAATGCGGCTGTCGTCGTTCGTCCATTTTCTCCTGACCGCCACTTGCGCGATCCTGTGCCTTGCACTTTCGAAAAAATTGGGATTTTCGATGGAAGTCGCCAAATGCACCAGTTTTCTGCGACATAATAAAGAACTTCTGTCCGCTGCTCTTTATTTAGTTCTCTTAGTCACGTTTGGAACCATCAGTACCTACAAATAGTGAGCCGCGTCTTAAATAGGATGAGGTGTCAATTAAATAGAGACACCCTTTGTTATTGTGGGCTAGTCTTCTCAGTCTAAGATAATAGTGTCTCCTCGTTCTGTTTTACTCCACTCCTGCTCTTCTATATGCGATTCGTCCTTGTTATTTGAATAACTCTATTCCAAAATTAAGGTAGTTTTACATCCGAAAAAATGGCAAACAGGCTCCAATGCGCCTGACCCTCAATTCGATAGTTCGCAAGTTTTAACCATGGTCCTTAGGAGAAAAACAGGCAATACTCGAAACAGAACTTGGCACAAGTACGTGTCGCCAACTTATTTCTTGATCGGTTGGGAATTGCTTTTCGATGAAATAGCCTGAGGTGTCAGATTCCGGCCAGCTTACTAGCGATCCCATACCCTGGTGGCCAAGCTGCTCAAATACCTCCTTGTGTTTTTGCAGTGTCAACGACGAGCTGATGTCGCCGTACCGAAACAACAACGGTTCAGACACCTCCGAAACCGCGAGGGCGCATCATGATCATGTCAGCTACTCGGCGCCCTTTGGCCGCCAGATGAAAATCATCTGCTGGCGCACAGTCCTCAATCTCATCCGCGACCCCCAGGCCTCCATAGTGCAGACCCTTGTCTACCTCTTCTTCGCCGTCTCTATGGGCGTTGTTTACTTCGGTCTGGACCGATCCCTTGAGACGGGCCTGCAAAATAGGGCCGGCCTCTTCTTCTTTGCCGCTCTTCAGGTGGTGTTCGTGAATATTGGAGCCATCGAACTCTTCCTGAAGGAGCGTGCCATATTCATGTAAGTTTTCCTCTTGTGCCACTTTGTCAGTTCCGTTTTTCTGCAATTGCCATTTTTTGCCGTAGCTGGGGCATCGTAATACGAGAGCAAAAAACCGTACTGCCTGGCAGACGTAGTTGACATATATTCCC